AGTCAAGAGGAGAACTGGAGGATATTGTACTGAAGATGGGAAGGAGAGGAAAGTGGAAAGGAAAAGACAGACCGAGAGAGGGCTATATGCTTCAAATGCTTTCGTTTGATTGCGTGGATCATGGCAGATTGGCCGATATATGCTGATTCCTCTGAAGAACTTTATCTTTGTCCCTTTCCCCTTCGAAAATGACCAGCGGTAATGCAGATCTAATCTCTTCTATCATCGCGGTAGGTCCCAAAGGCTGTCCATCTTCCCCAAAATGCCTCATCTTTCTGTCTTTGAAATAAATGAAAGTCCATGGGGCGATGGAATAAATATGAGCTAAGCCTTTGACTTGATATAAGATTGCCAACGGGCTCAAAGCTAAGAAGCCTGCCCCATCATCTGCTGCGTGGAGATACTAGGGCCAGAGCAAGAAACCAGATTATCTGATAGAATTTCAATCAGCATTGATCAGATAAGAAATAACAGACTGTCGGATTTTGAAGGCACACCAACGCCCCAACAGTGCAGCCTTTTTCCCTTAACTAGGAGATGAACAAGTCTGTGACAATTCTCGGAACTCCTGTCAAACTTCTGTTGAAATTGTACCCCGAGGATTATAACACTCTGTTCTACCATTCTGATTGGCTGGCACTGGCCCCTGACCTTAGGTATGCTCACATGACCCATGTTACACTCTCAGTGATTGGATTACTCCTTTATTAGCCAGTGGCAGTGTTTATAGAGCATGCCGAGACTCCGCGCAGCTTTGATCCACCAACAGAAGCAAGAAGGGGGGGCTGTGCCATAGTTTGCATCCTTGGCCTAAGCCTTGTGGTGTGTGAGACATCTGCCAAATCCTCCTGGATCAAAGGATGACTATTACACAGACAGGCCATCGCATACCCCCAACTGCAGCTTTAGAGGGCTCATGTGACCCCTGTCAACGAGTCAGGTTGGAAAACACAGGTGGGATGGGGGTCACACATGCAAATAGACTCTTGTATTGGTTCATTAAACTAAAGCACTAACATATTTGCTCCAGTATGAATTGGTATGTGTTGTGAATGAAGTGTTTCTTGGCATTTTCCTACCCTTTCTTAATGCTTGCCTAATAAGGGAGAGGATTAGCAGCAGGAGGAAGAGATCAGTAGAGGGTTTTGTTGTTCAGATGGACCTGAATCCATTTTGTTTGACCTGCCTCTTCCTGCCTGTTATTTCACAAGTTCACCTCTCTAAATAAGCCTTCAGAATATGCTATCAGCCAAGCTATAAATACAGCAGCGGTGTGACTTTACAGAATACAAGCGCGTGTGAAGTGAGGAGAAGATAGACTGGCAGAGGGAGAATGTGCATCGGCTTCTTTGTGCCTCTCTTTCTACATCCATGTGTTGCAGGGCTAAGTTTTCATGCATTTGGGAGAGGCCTCATGCTGATATTTTAGCTTGTGAACACTCAGATGAATCTCACATCTCATTATACAGTACAGAATGAAGTGTGAAAAGGCTGTGGCGTATGGATATTTAATCTGCTTTTTAAAAATACTTCATGGGCGGAATCCCATTTTCCGAAAACAGCTCTGGGACTCATCTCTGCAACTCATACGATCATGATGCAGACAGCCTGCCTGTACCCCTGAGTACACTCACACAACCTGTGACCTTTCCCCCTTATGCACAAACATGTGGCTTATAGCAAACCGATGAGCAGCTCATTCATATTCCCAAACACCCATCTATTGCTGGCTGGGGTGACATATTCATCCTAATTGCTGAGGTGGTCTACTGCCGTAAAGTGCCACCTCACCCAACAATCTTTTCTCACAGATTGTTTTCTGCAGGTTCATTACAGTCGTTGATGCATTCACAGGGGAATACATAAGCAGGGAAACCTGATGCATCTGCAACGATCATGCTGACTAATTACACGTTGAGGTGCCCGAGCATTAGGGAGTTCTCAGGGAAGGCGGCTGAATCCATCTTCTTTATATATGGAGACAGGCCTGCTACCAGCTGTTACAGTGATACTGGTGGCTCTGCGTGCTCCATTCCTGCTCTTCCCCACTGTTTAGCTTTCCAGCGCTTTTTTTTCCTTCTCACCAGATGAATATATTTACACTGGAGAATGCCATGGAGTGCTTTCCAAGAAACCCATCAACTTGGTACCCCCATGGAGGATGGAGGACGAAGATGAGAAGCCCCTGCAGATAATCTAGATATTGCACAGGCCTCCTTTGAACTGCCATGACAAATTCAGCCCTCGTTAAATCCCGCCCCCACTCCCAGTCTCTACGCGATGCAATTTTCATTTGTAGCACTTTGAAAAATATATTAAAGTGCCTTGCTGCTAGTTCTTTGATTTGCCGGAGATCTTGTCTTCGCTGATCTTCTCCCATTTCACTCCCAAAGCACTACATCCATCACACACTGGAGCAGAAATGTAGTAATATACAGGCCAACCCTCTTGCTTAGATGAATGCTCTAGTGGGTGAGAGAAGGGCAATAGGTCCTTTTATGTAGGACGTGTATATGGACTCGAGCAGTCTTTTTTTATTGCCTGTTTTCTGGATCCCCAGCTGGTTCCCACTGCCCCCTCTGCTTCCTCTCACCCAGTGGTGCATGTATGAGATGCTGATGCTAGCACTGACCCTCCCTAGAGGGTCAAAGAGAACAATTTACGATGCAGTTTGTTTGGAGTCAGCCCAGTTTTCTCTTTGACCAGCCTCAGGGATTAAACTAATTGCATGTATTGGACTTCCCAGATCTATGTTTGTTCTTTTCCCATCCATTAAGTCTTGTCAAACTCTTTTTCCAGCATATAAGATGACATGTAATGTAATTCAACAGATGTATTAGCAGGCATATCTTTGGGAAATGTTAAGAAAATTAATTCAGAAATGCAGATGTGTCTTTTCATTTTCTTCTCAAGTACATGCTGTATGTACAATGTACACTTTCTCAGCACATGCCATTGGGGAAATCTGGAATTATTCCGTGTTAATTCATGTTATGAATTTTAACGGACTCAATGTACATATGGAGTTAATTGCAATAGTAGCCATACAGAAACAGCTAATATTTTTGTTCAGGAAAAAAACATGATCTTTTATCATTCTGTTAGTATGTGCCATACATGTAAGTGGCTCTGTAGTTTAAATAATTCAATTAAGTCATTACATTTCTCTAACATCGCATATGCTATTTAAGAAACCACATGCCAATATAAAAGCAACATTGATTTTGTAATGAACATAAATTGAAGGGCTTCACCATCACCCCACAAGTATAAGCCACCTCACACCCCAATGAGCCACTTAATTGGCCACATCCACATAAAAGGCTTTAATGTACGCTCGCTGCTCTCCAACACACATAAAGCTGTAGGAATCAAATGGACTATAACTAATACAATTGATTTTGATCAGGCAGTACGAATAACATGATAACCGTGTCTCGCCAAGTGCTACTCAGGGGCATGCACAGAAATCCGTTCATCCTTTATGAGCTGCTATTTATTGTGCTTTTAATGAAGCTTGATTGGCAGCATGTCCTAGTGCCCATTATCATCGGAAGGATGTGCTCATTCTAATCTGCAATTATCACCATAATTGCACCCAGAATCCTCTGGGCCCAAATAAGCAATCACTCCCACGGCTGGCGTGCCACCTGTAAGTGCTCCTCAGGAGGACACGCAGAATGACAGGGTAACAGGTCTTGGCTCACTTCCTTTTCTTCCCCTTCTCTCACATGCTCTTGATTAACCTTTCCCTTTTTCACTCAGCGCCAACCCAGAGAACACTCTTCTACTTGTATCTCCCTTTCCTTCATTCAACCTATCCATCGCATTCCCTACATCCCAGAGCTCCTATCCCCTCCCAACACAAATTCCTAACCTTTGGTCACTTTCATCCTTGTGGTATGCATAAATACAGGCCTATTATCAAGCTAGTTGTCTCACCATAATTATGCATTTTGTCATGTGCTGCCTCTGTAGCTGTAGATAAAAGGAGAGCCTGATTAAGCTGAAGGAAGGCTATTGATTCCTATTGACAGGCCCCTCAAAGGCCTTTAATGAAGGGGATGTAAATGAGGGTTTTCCACAGTGTTTAATGACTACGTACCATAAAAGGCCAACATTCTCCTGCAGTCTGAAAGGGACATGGATCACTCACAATCGTGCACGAGGGACACTTTCAGTTACAGGGATGTTCAGGAGCAAAGGCTGGAAGAAGGGAGGATGTGAAGGAAAAGCACATAGAGATGTCAGATAGGTATGCAAAAGGGAATCGTGACTGTCAGATCAAGGGATCCTCAAGACAATTTACAGGGGTGTTAAGGTGGTCAAGTGAATTATTCAGATATGATAAAGCACCAAGAAAAGCAGTGTAATGTGTCAGGTATATTTCTTTGTCAGGGTGATATCCGCTAAGCATGCTGTGAAACATCTAGTCCAGGGGTGTCCAACCTACGGCGCGGGGGCCAAATGCGGCCCGCGGACCATTTTGAATCGGCCCTCAGCAAATTCAAAAAGTCTAATGGAATATGGCCCACAAATGAAACTTGTGCTCGTCTTATATTGTACTTCATAAATATATATGTACAAATATATTACACAGTAGTATTCATGTGTTAATAAGCCCACTTTTCAAATACATTCAGTCAATTAAAGTTGGAAAAATGTTCTAACAAATCTAAGTTTCCTCTTATTATGAGCAATCTGAGGCCTCTGTTTTAAGGGATGAGCTGAACACTTTTTGTAACAAAATAAATGAAACCCTTTGGAGAGCTGTGATGTAGGCTGTTTTTTTCTTAAGGCATTTTCAAGTATCAAGCATCATTTACCTACATGTGATTGATTTTGCTGACTTATAACTGAATTGATGAGGCTATATACCTCACCTCTAGTGAGTGGCCCAGCCCTTCGCATATTTTTTCTGTAAGTGGCCCTCGGTGAAAAAAGTTTGGACACCCCTGATCTAGTCCAACTATCTCACCTCTCCTTTCCCCCCCTCACAGCAGCCAGATGGCTCCCAGTAATCACGACCGGATACTGAGGCTGAGGAACGAGTTCCAGCATGCCAGGCACGAGGACGATGTGGACGACCACAGGCACACCTACAGCTTCAACCAGACCTGGGTGAGTGTTCCATAGAATCTGCGCTCCACTGGCGTGGCACTGAGCTGCACACACCCAGATACACATTCTCCAAAACACCCTTAAACCCAGAGCTCTCTGCTGGACTCAGATTATCTCCACCAGCTGGATTTATTTCACTCAAATTGTTTAATTCTGAATCGTATTTTTTTGTTCCAGGTAATTCAATGTTACAAACAGAACATATCGACATTGGTAGTCTCTCTTAAAGATTAGAATAGATACAAAATATTACATTACATTTAATTTTTTCCAACAGATGTACCAAATCAAAAACCCACTGAGCATCCATATGAATTGTTCCAAGCAATCATACTTGAAGAAGACATGTTGTTTTAAATATTTGCACGTTGCAATTAAGTAGGGTCATAAATCCCAGCATGCCAGGTTGAAATGATAACAATATGACTTGGGAAAGTAATTCAAGTTGATGTTTCACAGTACGAAGCCCCGGCACGACATTAACTGTCAATAGTTTCATGAAGTGCCTCAATTATCTTACACTGTCATCTTTTTGGACCGTCAGTGTTGTACCACTGCCAAATTATGTCACTAAAACTTTCGGCTTCAGTCCCAACTTCTGCCAAATATATGTGACTTATTTCTCATTCCCGGGTCCGACCTTTGACCTAGATCTAATTGCTCATTACTCACATCTGACTTCACTGTCGAGGAAATATGACACACTTGCAGTACGGCAAGAAGAAGAAGATGAAAACGGGAAACGTTCGATGATAAATGAATTTTTAGGACTTAAGGCAAAGTAAGGGGAGAAAAATTGAAGACCGTGAGCAACACTATTCATTTCCATTTCCATTAGTCTTGATTAAAGGGATTTTTAAATTAACCATGTTTTAAATTAAAAATGTTAGAGTTTCTCCTGATTGATCTGTACCAACAATGGGATTTAATCCTCATAATTGGAAAAATGTAATAAGTTAATTCCTTTGTTAATTCCTTCAGACCTGATTCCATCCTGCTGTGCAACTGCGCCCAGAGTTTAAGTAAAAAAGAAACACTTTCATCTTTCCACACACCCTATTATATCACCGATTATCTTAACATGCTGGAACAATGTTTACTTAGCTCCTTCTTCTAACTTTGTTAGAGACATAACTCATTGGTTGACACTTTATTTAAGGTCATATGTCCTCCTTATGTTCAACTATAACCAAACAAAACTGAGCCAAAGCAGGAACAAGTTCGAGGTCAAATATTTTGTATATTTTGTTGTGATTTAATGCTTTGAGACAGACATAGCTTTTTCTGTTCTGTGACTTTTCTGACCTGGTGGTAGAGGAAAGAGGGCTAATTGTTACACCAGGCAGAGCTATTTTCTAAATGATAGGTCAGAATGTCAGACCTTGAAAGTTAAAATATTTGGCATCCAATTATCGATGTCAGTGTGTCAGTGAAATTGCTTTGGAGTGGAGTTCTAATGTGGCAGTGATCTTTAGCTGTTTTTCCTTTTTGTCTGAATGCCTTTGGTAGACATAGCAGCACACTTCCCACCACGTTTATAGAGGAAAGGGCAGACTTTGTTTGCTCTGGATTTCAGTCAGTGTTAGTCCTATTGATGGTGTAAAATCACTGAAAGCCGACATCTCTCCACACTCTTTTCTTAATCGCACTCTTTCCATTCTGGCTCACAAAGTGGGATGCTACATGTAACTGTTTGTTCAGCACTAAGCAGTCTCAGTGTGTCTCTCTGAGCTTCTGAGCTCCTAATTGCTTGTGATTGTTGACATTGTTGAGTTACCCGCTCTACTCCACTGGTAATAAGATATAGAGCCAGCCCTGGAGTATTGAAGTCTATTTTATTAGTCCTCTTTCATGTTATTATAGTCCTGTGAACAAGGCTTCACAAAGGCAGGGCTTGTTAGCGAAGATACTGGCGTGCCCATGCTATGGGTTGACATCGATTAGTGGAACTCGAGAGAAATCCTGTCTTAGTGTCATCCAAAAAGCAGGATGCTTTATTTGAGGGGCCAAAGATTTGAAATGAAAACCAGGGGAACTGTCGAAGAAAAAACACATTTTGGCCATTTTGGAAAAAGGACAAAAAAGCTTTCCAAGATGTTCAGACACACGCAGAGCTAGAAGGTAAAATACACTTACATTCTTCACTCGCAGTTTCCATATATCAGACTGACCCACACTGAAAAACATAACCTTGTGACTGTGTTCTGTGCTGACCTATACAGGCTACCTTTTGTCCAGAAATTGATATATCTCTCTTTTTTTTAAATGATTTTGCACACTGTCATTGCTATATTTTGTCCGCAATGATGAAAGTGAAGCCTCTGTGACCTCCACTCCAAGCCTTCAGTGAATGTAACCATGAAAAGGCAAGTTAAATGCGCACCAAATCAGAGTCTGCAAAGCTACACTTTGAAGCACCTTGTCCCTGAGTACTCAAGGTTACAACATAATGGCTTCCACACAGATCTGCATGCCAGAACAGGAGCAGCTGCTAGCATCTAGAGGCTGTTATATACAGGTTGTTATATTTATGCCGTATATATTTCTTATAAAAACAAACACTTTTCTCCCTCACTTATCCAAAAATGATGATTAAAGTAAGTAAGACACAACAATCTCACCTCAAGGTCCATTTAGTAGCGGCTGGACCTTCAGACAGAGTTTACCCAGATGTTATGAAAATGTAGATCTCAATGTGTTGTGGCTAAAGCTATAGTTATGATACTGCTGTAATATACTTTGCTGAACAAACGGACCAGACTATCTTTTTTTGTGAGCATTAGTTAGGATGTAGTTGTCTTTAATCCATACATTGTGAGCATAAAAAGGCCATAGTGCAAGTTAATACTGCAGATACTCAGTGGTATTTCATTTATTCGTCATTACTCACTATTACCAAATATCTTCCTCTGCGCAGACAGCTGTTATGTATCACCTCTTTAAAAATCTTTCACATTTGGAGGACAAACAGCAAAAGTACATTATAATGATCATGAAAATGAGGAACAGATTGAAAGGGAGCCCATGGAGCAGCGTGAGGTGTGAGGCTCCCTCTCTGGGTTGACCCCTGGCTTGTCTCCGGGGTGTTTGAGACCGCGCTCAGGTATGTCTGCTGTGAACGCCTGTGATGACAATGCTTGGGTCAGTCCTCGAACCCCCGGCTCCTACTTAATGGAATAATGACCAGGGCACGAGAAGCCCTGTCCATCATGAAGCCCCCAAGCCAACACACACAATTAGAGCTGGCATGTTTTCTCTCCCTCCCTCTCCGCTGCTCTGTGAGAGGGGATTTCCAGATGTTCATCATAAAGCGCGATGTGTTTTCCAAAGAGTTGCCTTTTTCTCTCTCGCTCTCTGTCTGCGGCAATAAAATCAATTTGTGCTGTTGGCTTGGAGCACCAATGAGCATGACCACACAGAGGAGTGTGAGCGCCATGCTGGTACCTTGGATCAAACACACCAACAGCAGCCTATAACTCCCTTATGGGAATTCTTTTGATTTTATTATCCTTCTATCTACTGCTACCAGGATACATGTGTCTCTAAACATCTGTTGTGTTTGCGCAATCTTGGGTTTCTGGGCGTTTGATTGGGTATCGCCACAGCTCTGTTGACTTCACATGGGCTAAAGGCTTAGAGTTAAGACAACAGCAGTGTGAGTAGTACTGTAAGTAGTCACATCATTTATGGTGGAGCGTTTTTTTAGGTCCTAGATGATTAAAAAAATCTCTTTCTCACACATTTTGTTACATAGCAAATGCCAGTCGACTGTTTTTCACAGTTTGATCACACTGACTCTGAAGAGCGTAACATACTGTAAAAAGCAGCAGGGAAATCCTTTAGCCACTCTTGATTGTAACTGCGATGCTTCTTTTTATAGTGCTGAGACGATTCTCCCTCTCCTTAAGATAGATCTTGGACACATGGACTATGTCATGGTACTATTGCTACTATCTCAATCCCCAAAAATAACCTGACTGTATATTTTTATGTCAATTATGGTGATTTGGATCGATCTTTTGTCGAGCTTCTTCCAAGATTGCTTGCTAACCCAACATGCATGGCTGAATTATGGATATTGCTGTTCAATGTAATGCATGTAGCAAGCATGATTTACTGATGTTGTGATTACAACAACCATAAGCAACAGGACTTGCCAACGTACTTGAACAACAACTCACAATCTTAGAGTCATTTAGCTTGTTTGTGGGTATGACATGCATTTCTTTATGGCAAATGTAATATTGTTGCATTGTTCCAAACACATCTGATCATCACTCACACTTACACTGTGAATGTGCATAGATGTATGCAGGCCCACCCATTTTATATTGCACTCCATATACTTTGATATCAAACTGTGTGTGTGTTCACAGATAAGAATAAGAATAGCGGGAGTAGAGGAGAACAAAGTGATTACACTTCTCTTGTGTCGACATAATAATGCATTTCAGTATTATTACCCCACACAGATATCTTCACAATAAAAGATAAGACTCCAACATTTTGTTCTGCCATTTGTGCATGCTGTCGAGTCCTTAACTGATATGGAGATAGCCACCGCTTCCATTCACCATGGTTTCCTGGGCCAGCGAGTGGGAGACTGCACACCACACTTGCTTGCTCTCAGATGGATACTATGCCCCGGAGCTACACACCCCGGCGACCACAAATGGACTGGGTTTGCTTTTAATAAATTGCCAGAATTGGGTCATGGACTTTAACAGTGAATCATTATCCAACTGTGCTTTTGTCAGGATGTGGTGTTTCACTACTTTCTCACTTTCTTCTTGTTCTCTGCCCATTAGCAACTTAAATGTGTTCCATATGTCTGTTTGTGTACAGCAGGGCTTCTCTTAAAACGGTTCCCTATGTGCAGGGCTACAAACAGAGCATCATGAGGAGTGTAGGCAGAAAAGCCACATGTTAGAGCTGACCCATCTCAGCAAGCGGCTTTGAAATCTGAAAGGTCTGTGACCAAGACTGAACCAAGAAATATTACACCTTGGAACTCTTAAAGCTCAACGCCTTCCCAGCTGCTTTCCTGGACTCTGATTTTTGATAGCTGCAAATAATTTTCATAATTATGTCCCCCCCCGACTCACCGTCTGTGAACGCTCTCATGTTTGAACAGGTGGAGATTTCTTTTTTTTCTTCCTCCCTCCTTTGTCTGTCACACCACCAAGAAAAGGAGAGGGATACAAGCGTGCTGTATTGACATCATTTTTCACATTATTGGATAGAAACGAACACGGACGTCTCTTTGATTCGATTTCAACAAATGTCATGTTTTATATGGCATTGTATTCCAGGGCCTAACATGGAATAATCTGATTCTCCTTCCCTGATAATGCCATTACACTGACTGATTTTCTCTCCTGGCTATTTCTCATGCATTTTTCTTGGCATGGCGTCATACACCTCAACCCTTCGGTTTTAAACCAAAGTGTCAAGCACCTCCGGATTCCTCGCCACTTCCCCTTCAAATCCCATTAAAAACTTTTAGTGTGCGTGACTAATTATTTTCTCACCACCACATTGGGCCACAGTTAAATAATTTATCCTTTTACCTCACTGTTCATCTGATATTCGTTTATGTGCTCTGCACTTTCTGAGCCGGCGGAACGTGTTGTTACAGTGAAACCCGAAACACATGAGTCCAATTCACTTCACCCACGTGGAATACTGTTATTTTTAAGGAATTGGACGGCTTGAGAAAGGACTTGTTATTAACGCTGAGTGAAATGTAATTGCGCTGTTATTACAGCTGTCCAAGTGAGGAGGAAAGCAGCCATTTCAAGAATACAAGATGTTTCCAAGACATTTTTGCTGTCCATCGCAAACATACCTTTACCCCATCAATCTGTTCTGTCATGTACTACGACTACCTGTCTTCTTCCAACCACCCCCAAACACAAACACTTTTAAGAATCTCTAAAAGTGTCATCCCAGACAAAAGAAAAACACTTATTCTCTAAGTGCTCTGTTCCAATTTAAATCTCAGAATCCACACCCTCACCTGCCTACCACATTAGCGTCCGAGCCTTATGAAAAGTGACACTCGGTCAGGCCACAGCTCCTCAGCTCGCCTCTGTTTAATTGGCTTGTCGTGTTCTTTCATCAGCCAGCTCGTTAGCAGTGCGCTAGTGTTGAGGGAGATGATATCGCCATGTCAACCACACAGACGATCAGACAACAAACACACACACACACACACACACACACGGTACAGGTTAGTGGTGTGTAGTCAAGTCACACGCAAAGCTGTGAAATGAAGCAGTTACCGGGGAAACTCATCTATATTTAATGTCTTCAGCATGCTAGTACTTACTACTACTTCAGAAATACACTGCTCACATTTAGCACAATATTACACTATCATATTACATTTCATATCATGTAATTAGCACTGATCTTGAGTGTAATGTACAGTAACAACACATTCATTTTAAATCCTAAAAGGAACATGTATTTAGCTCCAAAGTCATTATTTATGTAGAAATTGTAAATGTTTTTTCAGCCATTTTTTTTTTAATAATACATTTATTTGACTACACCTGAGACTTGTACGATACGTCTACTAACAAGAAGAATCCTACCGCTGTTTCTGGACATACTCTTTTTGAATATTGGAACCAACAAGCTATAATCATCTGTATTTTTAAGTCAATCATCATGACATTCTCACACAACGCAGTATTTGTTGTTTGTTATGACAAATGGGACAATAGTCCCTTTCATTTGTAGACATTCCAGAAAAAAAAAGTCCTTTATTATCTGCACGGTATTGTTATTAAATGTCATACTGCTGTCACTTTTGTAAGTCTCTTCTGAATTAAAAATGTTAGTGCAAACTGTGCTGCCTGGCATTCTAGTAAGTCAACCAAGGATACGTAATTAATATCGCAGGTGCATTGTGCAGTGTCATTTTCATCATGGAATCACACCTCCTAACTACCTGTTCCCTGAGTGTTGCCTAACACACAGGAGGCATCACACTGACACACCAAGTGCTGTGCTAAGGGAAACATATTCCATCATCTAAGTGTTTTTGTATTTGAGTGTGTTATCTATTACCAGATGTGTGTCCAAAGACAGAAATGTCAGCCATCTAAGGTTTCATTTGATTTGATAGTAACTCTATCTTTTCATTTTGTGGATTTGACAGTCGAGCAATGGGACGGAACCACTGAGCGGACGCCATTCAGTCAACGTTGACACGCAGCAGCCGCAAGAAGATGATTTCCAACAAGCACAGAGACAGTTCAGCTCCCTGCCACGGTGAGACCTCCTCTCCCTTCTCCCTTCTTTATTCCATCTGTCTCTCCTTTCTGAGGCTTATCACATTCCTACTGCCCTTTTGACTTTTCTGATTTGTATCCATTTCTTTCCCTCATTTTTGTGCCTTTACCCTTTTTTCTCTACACTTTCTTTGATTACAAAGTCAATCACAAAGCCTCCTACAGACATTTAAATGACTCTTAGCACAACTCTTTGAATGAAATCATTTAATGTGATCGCTTGGAGTTATTTGACTGATATCCACTTTCATTAAGTCAATGTTGACCCTGTGGAAGTGGTGAAATGAGTGGAATTATTTTTCTTAGCAATCTCTCTCTGCCGACACAACATGAGTTCAGAGCTACAACCGCTGCCCTTCATCTTCTTCATCTTCCTGTTTCAATACTTTTGCATATATTTCAAAGACATGCCAATAAAGCTTACCATATCTTACATCTCGAGGCGGTGAGGCAGAGTTTAGTATCGGTATTTGCATTTCCTGCGTTTCCGTATGTGACTCATCCTCTGAAGCTCACTTAAGTCAATGCCAATTGAAAACCATTTTAAGTTCTACATCTTTGGAAAGAAAGTCACCAAAGACCTAAATTCTATACTTTGATAAAGGGACGCAGAGATCTTCGGTTATGAATTACACATAATTTCCTCTCCCTGTTTAATATCCCCTCATTGAAAACAATCCAATGTGAGTTTTTCTGTATCGTGAAATGTTCTGAAATGTTGAAAGTGAAGTCTGATTTATTTGAGTTCTACTTCTTTGCCAGTTTAAACAAAGACAGAACTTAAATTGTGCGTGTGTGTGGTCTTTTAATTTCTTGGCCAGAGTAACTGTGTTCTCCTGTGATTTTATCTCTCCCTGCACAGATACTTTTTTTTAGCTGTGCTGTCTCTGAGCAGTCAACGGCAGGTCGATTAAAACATGTTCCTGTCTATGGCTATGGATTTGCGGTCCACGTGGACGCATAATCAATGTGGTCTGTATAAGCCAGAGGGATCTGTGCATTCACTTCATAGGTGTTATCTGCTGGCATCTCATGTGATGTGACAGTTGCCTCCAGCCCTCCCCTCTCACTGAGCTCCTTCTCTTGGGAAAGTTGGTCTGGCCGGCCAAAGAGCCAGGCGAGGATGGCCTTTGATATGCATTCCTCTCATAATCTCACAGCATCTTTTAGCGAAGAGTCGCATGAGCTCAGGCTTGACGTTTGACCCCGGCTAAAGCTTTTTAGAGCTTGTGTCTCGGCACATCTCCTCATTAAAGAGCTAAAGTCTTACATCCCCAGATTAATAACCACAATTCCCTCTAACTCCAACCACCTCTCCTTTGGAACCCCTTCATCCTGTCCTCCTCTTCCAAAACAGGAAGCTGAGCAGTCAGCCGTTCAGTCGAAAGGGGACATTCCCCCAGAAAAAAAAAAACCTTCCTCCTAAAGAGCTTCCAGGAGAAACCATGGTTATCTGATGACGGCCAGGCTTAGCTGGCTGTCTGGGATGTGAGTATTGGAAGAGCACTAATGAAGGCTTGTTGTCGGAGCAGGATTAGCGGTGACAGGCAGTGGAGGGCGAGAGGGGGCCGGGAGAGGAACGAGTGAGTTAGGAGGAAAGAGAAACCACTGATTAGCCTGAAAGAGACACTCTCACACACACAAACACACACATGAATGTGGTCAAGATAAGGTTCTTAAAGGTGGCCTGTGTGAACCGCCAGTAGCTCTTCCCTCTTTCCATGCAGCTCTTTGCATTCCTCCGCTAACGCGTTGTAAAGAAAACATTATTCCAGGTTTGTAGACAATTTATTTGCACAATATAGCTACAATTGTTCCACTGCCCATTGCACGCATTTGGGTTTTTTCCCCTAATCATTGTGTGTCTGTGCTTTCTCCTCCTTCTCATGAACTCTGATTCTTCCCAGCTGTTTGAAAGAAACACACGGCGGCCACAAATTCTCCTGCAAGCCAACTTCCTGGCTTTGTTTGTTATGTTCTGTCATTCTAAATTTACCCCAGTCTTTGGCATGATGTATTTTCCCATCCCCTCCCTCTGTAGATGTAACTAATCTACTTTGTGACATATTCTGGCAAAGGAGTCGAGGTGATAAGAGAACTGACTCCCCTGACACATCAATCACGATTACATTCCTGTGGAACAATGCCATTTCTGTTCTGCTCTTATCGCCACCGAAGACTTTCCCCCTAAATCTCCCTTTTTCGACTTTAAAAACCAAAAGGGTCATTCTGGAAACGCAGATTGCTGCCTCGTGCAACAGGCGTCCTGGGTTTCTAAATACGCGGCTCCCTCCTGAGCGGCGCTGGCTGCTTTGTAAGCCAAGACGGGGTGTAAATGCATGGCGGCTCGCCCAGACAGACCCAGATATGAAGCATGTGGTGGGGCTCTCTCCGCAGTCTGTCCCTACATCTGCCCCTCCGCCAATTACCCTCATACTTACACATGCTCTACATGCGTGCACACACATACGGAGCGGAACCAGATCATGTGTTTGTGTTGTACAGTACGGTACATAAATGCATACACATTTGCAGAGGTGGGAAGTAGTGGAGTACAAATACTTCGTTACTGTACTTAAGTACATTTTTCTGGTATCAGTACTTTACTCCATTACGTATTTTTCTGACGACTTTTTACTTTTACTTCTTACATGTTGAACCCAAATACCTGTACTTTCTACTTCTTACATTTCCCAAACAGGCTGGTTACTTTAGTTTGAATGTGTGTTTGGTGGCGTGATCATTATTATTTAGAGTCATTGCGTGCCTATTGATTTGAACACGATCCGTGTATCCATCACTTCCTGGTCTTCTCTAAAGAAGAGGGACCAATGAAAACGTTGTCATGTTGCCGTTGTTCAGCATGGAAACATTCATTAGCTAACAATGACATTATTGTTCTATTAATATAAAGGGAGGTCAGGTACTCTTTAAAACAGCTGCTAGTTATGGGTACTTTTTACTTAAGTACATTTCAAAGCCCATACTTCTTTACTTTTACTTGAGTAAAGAAGTTTAGTCAGTAATTCTACTTTTACCAGAGTATCTGTACTTCTACTTGAGTAAAGGATGTGTGTACTTTTGCCATCTCTGCACATTGTCTTTGGATGTATAAATATAGACCTTAGCTTACAGATACTGACCCTTGAGCCGTGTCCTTTATCTTTTCACCTCCACTTAGATATTGTGGACCACACAGGTCTTCATGAGTAACACTGGATTTGAGGAATCACATGGAGATATTTTCAAGGGAGTGTTGAATTAACTGGCAAGAAAGAAGAAAAAAGTACAGGAATTCATATTTTGTATTAAAATCCCTAAGCTGGATCTAGGCTTGACCCAAGGGGTGTAATGGCAGTCCAGCCATACATATCTACGTCAGCTTGGTTCAGCAATAGATTACATTCATACTAAATGAGTTAACTGTGTGGTACAGAGAGTAGCAGTGTATGCTTGTACCTAAAGTCAAAGACTATAATGACATGAAATTGACTATTATAACGTTAGATTTCTTTTGTCTGATTACTGAATAGGAGACTACTGTGGTTGAGTCAGAAGTCACCAAAGTTACATAAACATGCTACACAAGTAGAAAACATATCCTTGGAGTTCAGCTATTAACCAACCTGGGGAGCGGATGTTTTTTTACTTTTGGTTCTGTAAACTGTTTTCTCTTTTCCATTCAACATTGAAGCACAGAGAAAAAGAAACCAAAGGTCAAGGTAGAATCGCTCGCTATTATATCCATTGGGAGGTGTGACTTCCAGTATAAAAGTGCATTTTTTCTTTTATCACACTTTATTTTGTCAGGAAAGTGTTTTGGCCCAAAAAATAGCCTGTTCTGTTTTTTGTTCCAGTCAGTCTCTCTGGAATGAGCCTCGTCAGATAAGAAATGCAGACTTTTTGGCCTAAAAGCATGCCGGGCCCCTGCCTCCCTCTGCAGGATTGTGTGCTGTGATCTCAAAAGCTTTTTAAGCACACTGCGGGTCAGGGAGGTGTGAATGGGATTTCTCATAGTACCTCTGACGCAAAAGACACTGTCACAGGTCTCTACCCTAATGGATCCTAATAATGGAGGAGCAGACTCAACACTGTGTCCAAAGACCCCGCGGGGTCCCATTGACAGCTTTCCATGGCCAATTTCCAGAAAGGGGAGCATGTGTGGCAGAAGGCATACTTGGAAGTTTCTTTTTTTCTCTTAGAGACAATATGTGTGCATGTTGGGCCCTTGTGTCAGTGTAGAGGCCGGCAGGCAGACTGAAGGAGAGTAGAAGGCCTGCCATTACTCTGTCTGTGCTGTAAGTGCACCCGTCTGCATCTCCAAAAAATAGTTAAATGGATGAAAGCAGCCATTTTTCTCAGCGTGGTTTTAACATTTGTGTTTGTTTACGACGTGGAACTAATAGCGCTGATGGCGTTTCAGGCTTCCCCGCGTTTGTTTCCTGTCTCTTTCATGTCTCGGTCTTCAAATAACAGGATTCAGTGTAATCATTCAGCAGACTATAACAGATCCCTCTTTGCTCCACTCATGTTGCCTGTAGTATTTTAACTCAACACCACCACCACCATCCCCCTTTTAATGTCACAAAATGTGAAAATGGACACATTCTCTGCTGAAGTGCAGTTTCTTTTGAATTCCCCTTCAATAGCACTGACCCAGGGGCCGCTACAGAAAAAAAAGCAATCTTTTTCTGAGCTCCTCCTCCGGTCACTTTAGATCCAAGTTCTGTTTAAGGTGACTCACTCAACGGTGCGATTAACCTCTTTACTTGCCTTTGTGTGTTTAGGCCACCCCATAAGACCCCCAGCACGGTGTCCCAGGACTCATGGGACAAGGTGTACATGCCAGAAGAGGGATTCCAGCCATCCAAGGAGAACCCTCGCCACCCCTCCAGCCAGGGGTCACGTAACGGATACCTGGGGACGTCCAACTTCAATGCTCGTGCCCTCTTAGAGACTCAGGAGCTGCTGAGGCAGGAGCAGAGGCGCAGAGACCAGGAAGCCAAGTCCAGGCCTGCTTCCATGCAGGAGACCCCCAGCAGCATCGCCTACGACCACAGCAGAGAACACACTCAGGCCCCTGGCCCCGCCCCGATGCAGGCCGCTCCTCAGACCAAGGGCCCCTACAGACAGGACGTACCCCCGTCGCCCTCTCAGCTCGCCAAGCTCAGCAGGCTGCAGGGCTCAGAGAAAGGGAGGCTGTTCTACTCTTGAGACAGTGACACGGTGGGACTTTTGGGAGATTAGGACTGATTCCAAAGAGCATTAACAGGGAAATATACAAAGTGGGCAAAGTGTCTTCTTTTTGTATGAACATGCTGAGAAACAAAGATTTTGATGGGACTGTTGATAGGAAATGTTAATATTTAAAAAGGATGTTTTTAATGATACGAACCATTATCCTTTTAAGCTGTCAAAAAGAAATGAATTGCTATGTTTTACTGTCATCTAACTATGTGCATAAGTGCCTTCTCGTCAATCGATTGTTCCCCTTTCGCAGGCATCAGCCCCATTGTTATGGCTCATGATCTGCAGATTTGACCCATCCATCTGAAAGATTCAGTAGAGCAGACACCGCGGCAGAAGGCAATTGGTTTGGGCCATCACGACAGCAGTGTGTCCCAAATATAATAACCCCGAGCACGAGACATGTTTTTGCACCCCTCCCCGTGCTGGCGGGGGTCTTAGTCGATACATCGCTTGTGTGAATGAGGCTGGTTTTTTTCAGGTCACTTCGACGAGCATAGCTTCTGCGTGTAAAGTGTGTGTGAGTGCTGGCTGGAGTCTGCATGTGGGTGACAAAGTGTGGATGTTAAGCAGCTTGTGTGAGAGTCAGAGCTTGGGGTTTGGGCATGACCCCCACCTCAGTTCAGAGAAATGTCCCCTTTGGTTTCAGATACGACACTTACCCAGACTGCGTATCCTCCTTTCAACCCCCTCTCAACCCCCTCTCGTATTCAATATGATAATCCTGGATTCTCCTCCTCTGCTGGCTGCTTTATCTCAGTTTCTTCTCCTTCACATTGTCACCAAACGTTCTCTCAGTGGAGGGAACAGCTTTAAATCCCCCTTACTCCTACCCTGTCCTGCCCACCCAGGGAAACCAGTAGTGTGAGTGGGGTCGGGTCTGGGTTATTAATGAATGTACCTCATTCAAAATGAATGGCCCCCCTTTGTGTGTGTTTATGTTGTCATGTATATCGAGATAAAGAAACAGGGACCTTGCCATCCTCGCCTAGAGTGAATCGGCTGTAACCGAAACCTTCTAGGTGTCTGAGTTGTTCCTCGCTGAATATTTCATCAGCGTGGTTACAGAGGGAACCACAGCACACTGCAGTAGGTGGCCTCAGAGCCATCTGCCCCGTACAATGGAGCTGATTTTCTTTTCTTTTCATGATTATGTCCATTGGTAGAAAACCATTTTGGGGCCTTTCTGTGGTTCAATCAATAATTAGTGGTGTGTGAGCGTGTTTGATACTGTGTTTGTGAATGGGTGTGTGTGTGTTCGTATTTCCATCCCTGTAAGAACAGAGATTGAGAATTTGTTTTGCAATGTGAGGATGTTTCCTAAGACAAAGGTTCCTTTTGAGTTACAGTTAGGTTTAGTTAAGGTTAAGATAAGATGTCAAATTGATTATTGATTAACCCTGACTAGGTTTTTTAACATGTTTTTTGGGTCATTCCTTCAGTACACGTACATGCACTTAGGAAACCATGTAACACAGCTAACTGTAAAATGTGGTTTCCTTAGAAACCCTGGTTCCTGTAGTAACCTGGTAACTGTACATCTGTGTATACATGCAGCAGGTCAGTAATCAGATGTATTCCCTGCCCCTGACATCATTCCTAAACATAGCATACTTTTTTTTAACTGTTCTAGTAATACAACATGATGCTTTTTGATGAATGTGATTCTGTTTTACAAATCCATCAATGTTTAGCCATAGAAACCGACTTCAAGAGGCTACTCAGTGTCAGTTTTAGTTGGGAAACAATCATTTTGACTACGAATGCATTTCCACATGTAATGATCTCTCCCTCTGCACAGCTGTCCCAGCTCTTCTCTCTGTCTGAAGTCTTTGTCATGCAAATGCTCACATGTAAAACCTGGTTGCACGCACACATAGCCAAGAAATCTGGCTTTGTAAATCAGGTTTCTGTAATCCCTCTTCCCGGATTACAAAAAACGGGTTTCTGGTTTACATTGTGATCATAAAATCACCGGTTACCTGGCCTCTTACAGTAAGTGCATGTTAACAAACAATAGGAAATAGTACAGGAAGTTGCAAACTATGCAAGGCCATATTTAAAAGATCCATTGAATTTGTACATCTAGAAGTTAGAGTTCATGGTTTCTATGAACCATGCGATGGATAGTATAGGTAGGAATCTAAAGTTATTGCCGTAAAGGGTCTATGGGTCTCACAAGTAGAGTGTTCTTAATTATAAAATGGATGTAGAAAACAATACTATCATGTCGGTCTCCCAATGTTCTAGTGTGTGTGGGTGGACATGTGTTTAAGTGTCTGTAAACGCTGCCAGTAACTAGATGCTCCAATATGTCTATGAATATGTCTTGGCAGCCATATGAACCACTTGGCTGCTGAGTGGGAGAAGAGCAGAGCAGAGGAGTAGGAGGGAGAGAAGATAGGAGGACCTGACCCCGCAGATGATTCAGTCAATGGAGTAATCACAGATATTCCTCGGAGTCTGCGGTACAAACAGGAGGTTACCCACCAGGCCACGCTCACTTTAGCTGTCTTTTCTTTGTTTATCTCTCCGTCTGTTTCAGATGTTTCTTTTTCCACGGCAGAATGGTGTGTGTGTGTGAGTGTGTGTGTGTGAGGAGGTCCAACACTGATATAGAAGCTGTAATAACTGATGTTTTACATGCCTCCATTATGAACTGGGGAGGGGTTCAAGTGCCTGTGATATCTAATGAGGTTTTTTTCTCTCCTCATATGCAAATGTAATAATATCCCATAATGCACGTTTATTATTTCTGTTGTGTAATTAATGTTTGTGCGCCGCCTCTGTGACATATGGATTCTTCCCATAAAGCTATTGTTTCGGGGGATTTTCTTTTTCAACCTGGGAGAAATTATAAACATATTGTTATTGTTTCATTGTGTTTTTTTATGACCATCCTTCATTGTCTTTTATTATCCACAATATGGTACTATGGTGGTAAAAAATGATTTAGATGTAAGCACAGTGCAATTTTCCTTTTTACATCGGTGTATCATTAAGAACTGTTTTTGCCATTCTCTGTACATACAATATAAAATTCTTTTTCAGTGAATAAATAGCGGCTAGATTCAAATTCTTGTAACAATAATGTCCCTTGAATGTGCTGCTGTAACAATCACAAAAGGTTTGAGAGATGTAAGAAGCAATGCAAGCTTCCATTCCATCATATGTATCCGTTAGTGTGTTTCAGATGTATAAAGTTAATCTAAGACAACCTATAAAACACAAAACGACTCTATTTGTCATCTGGTTGCCAGATTCTTCCTTCTTCTTTCAGCAGCTAAAAGAGAGAAAAAAAGGATTTTGAGTTCCTCTCATAACTGAAAGAATGTGGAAACAGGTTTAACCTCTGCAGTTGCTACAGCTGTACATTGGCGCAAACTCAAAATGTGGCTCCCACATTTGTTGAAGTGGCAATGAAAAAGTCTGATAAAAACACTTCCTCCCTGTTTCTCCATCTCTGTTATTTCCATTCCTGATAGGTCAATGTGACGGTTGGCCGGGATGTTTTGCCTCGAGCTGGCTGAACTTCTAATAACATCCTGTGATCACTCCTATGGCGATAAAGACAATAGTCAAATTTATGATGTTCAACTCCAGGGGAAAGGCAGGTCTTACATTTGGCCCGGCATCACAGAGCTCCTGCCAAACCCTGTCTTCATCCTGGGGAAGGGGGAGGCCTTTGAAAGACTCAGTCTGGTAAGAATGGAAATAGTCTAGAAAGCACATGCATCTGTGACACATGCGCAACAGGTGAAATGAAGGTGAGGCAGGAGAGGAGAAAATGTGGACATTAGCCCCGGATTGTAAAATAATTTGGAGAAGCTTTAACCCTGAATAAAAAAAAGAATTCTTCCTGTGAGGTTGCACAAGACATATGTTTTGTGTTTTATCCCTTTTGGTTGATATTGCAAATGATATAACATAATTATAGGACTTGAGTGTATGAAATAGCTTGCGTTATATCATTCTTTGCAGAAGATGTCCTTTTGTTCATAGCAGGGCTAATCAATATCATTTTTTGCAGCATATACAGTAAGAAGAATATGGCTCAAGCTTCAAACTTAACTCATGAAAGAGTATTATAATTGAATATAGTATGATTTATGGTCGTTTCTGTAGAAGCCTCACTTCGACAGTGGACGGGTGGCTGCCATTCCACTGGGACTGAGAGTTTAATAGAGCACAGAGAATATGGTCCTCTGCAGGTTTAGAAATACCATTTAAGATAACAGATACCATATGGTCTGAAGAAACATTAGCTTTTATAGACAATAAAATTATCTTTCTGTCGCCATACTTCTATTGTGATTTGTGGATGTGTATAGGAGCGATATTCTCATATACAGTACAGTAATGTTATCATCACAAAACGGACATTACAGCCATAAATCCAGATGTATCTATAGAGGTAATGTAAAGCCATCAAAATACAATAGGTCTCATCCTAGCATGTTATCCAACGCAGCATGTAACCTAGTGGGTGCTCTGCTGTATCAGCTTGCACCCTTAACACTTTGAGGCCTGAGGGGAACAGTAAATCTGTCTCTCGCTGCACTCTGTCCGATCATTACTCACACCCAAAGAGCTCTGCTGAGTCTTCAATATCCCCCTTTTGCATTCCCTCCATCATAATACTGTATAATAAAAACCCTTTTTCTTCAATGATCAACAGCAGACTCTTTCTTTCGGCCAGTTTGATTTCATTACTCCATGTTGTCCTCTTGACCCCTGCAGGCCAGACTAGTAGACCCCAGTTGTTGGCAAGTGCATTGATATGAGAAGCAGATGGGTTTCGTGTGAAGCGCCTATAGATAAAAAAGCTTGTGAGTGTCAAGGGATTAGAGAGCGGGGTGAGTCTGAGTCACCTGTTTTGGGCTGAAGAACCTGCTTCCCCCTCTGATCCCTGATCCTTTGCCCCAATGGGATTTCAAAAGAGGAAGCGACGCTGTAAGAAAAATGGTGGTCATAAATCTCAGCAGATGCGCAAGAAAAGCCAATTGTGCGAAGCTGACATGAACACACGCGCACACGCACATACCTGGGGGTTCTTCCCTAAAGCTTTGGGAAACATCTGGTGAGTGCGTGTGTCAGAGGAGAGGCTGCTCTCTGTAATGTGTGCATAGAGGAGGGGAGGAGGGGCTTTCACTCTTTAGACGATGGCTCTGTGCGTGAAAGAGAAACAGGGAGTCACAGATGAACTGGCTTACTGAAAAGATTACCAGATGAGGAACAGAGAGAGCGTACCGTGTTTACCAAAAAGCCCTCACCTCACTCTGAGATCAGATGGAATCCAAACACTTTGTACAGCAAGTTATTATTTAAAATGAAAGGAAAATGTTTTAGGCAATAGGCCCCATGGTTGAACTTGAATAGCACTCAGGGATTTGGTGTTTGAAGGATCTACCACAACTGAGCAAACAGGACTTTAAAGACTGACATAAATATGAGGGACTTGAATTCAGAGCACATGGATGTAAAGTTGTCATTTATCTATCTCACATAGTTATAGAAGACATTATTATCAAATGGTTTCAAGCTGTAGGGTCAGTGGTCTAAGAAGAAAGAATGTATATTGCAAAGAGAGCCTTTTTAGAATGTCAGGATATATCATAAATCATTTCTGAACCACTTATGTTAGATTATTTCTTGCTTTTGTCCAAGTTAGATCTTAATTGTATGTAATGTATATCCCTTATATCTCTTAAGAAACCATTTCATGGGTTTGTCTTTCATGGTGTTCATTTTTGATAAATGGTTGAAGGAAAGAAAAGTGATATACACAATATTTAAGACTAAATCTAAAGTGTTTTTTTAGTGAAATTAAAGGGTCAGGTTGTGGATCAATTCTACTATGCCCAAGATTTCTTATCACTACATTTAAGTTTAATCCAATGTCAGACCTTTATTTTAACACCAGCAAGTTACAGAATATTTAAAATGTCTTCTGTGTTGAAACAGGTCATCCACCGATCCGTGTGTTGCACATGGTTATCATCAAATTGAAGGTCATACTGTAATAGCTCAACATCTGATATACCACAATATCACTGACCCCAGTCCAATCCTTAAAATGAGGTCCCATCGGGCCCAAAAGCATCCAACCAGGCTACAGTAGACCCTGACAGGCCTGCTCTTCCTGAACCAATTTAACCCGAGGCCCTTCCCCACCCTGCCACCCATGGAGAGTCACACACCGCCTGGGACCGGCTGCAGCCCTGAAGGCGACGGCAGGAGAAGACTTCCCCACAAATGAGGAGAAACAATCAAGATAACAAGCCTACACATGTGCTGTGAGTCACCGCCTTGTGAAAGCTCGGGCTTGAAGTTTTTTTTACTTGAACAGTTTATTTACACTCCAGTGGGATTTGAGGTCGCCGTGGAACCTGGAACAAAGTACATGAAACATTCTTTGGTTTTTCTGCTTTGGTTATGATGTAACTTCATTACACAGAATAAATGTTTTATCATACCCTGTCTCCTCTGAAGACTTGCAACAGTTTGCAAGAAAGTTCTTTGACTCTGGTGTAATTTAGGCGTGTTAAAACTAGTAGTTGTGTTTGTTCTTGCTTGTATTAAATGATCTTGCTGTGCAGTAAGGCGACATAAAGCGGTTACCATTAGCGATATTTGTTTGGAAACAGAAGCATGTGTGCGTGCGTATGATTCCCTTGTGGGCTGCATTGAATGTAATGGGACCTGTTTTTATGCCACACTAACACACACCAGCAACATTCGGGGCCTTTGCTCATGTAAAGTAGCCGGCCAAAGAGCCGGATTGAAAGCAGAAGGTGCTCGGAGGGCCCTTTGATTAGCGACATATGTGGAATAAAACATTAGGACTCTTTTCTAACAGAGGGAGCCTTTGATTCCTCAGAAATGTCTTTGAGGCATCTGTCCTGCATGAGGCATCTTCTCATGCACCCAATGCTATTTACTCCAATTACTTTATGCAAGTCATGAGAGTCAGCCCAAGTTCACTGCTAAGATAAGCTGATGCTTTACAAATGCACTTTTATTCTCGGTCGGCGGCCATGCAAGTAAATATATAATGAAATCCAATCGACAAACACAATTGCATCTTGTTTTCATGTGTGGACAAGGAATTACACGTACTTGACCAGCTTTGAAATGGTAATGCATTGTTTGAAGTATTCTGGTAAACAAAGTAGCACAGCAAATGCAAATATGCGCTGGGGTTTTTGATCTCATAATGATCTCTTCCCCTAAATTCGGGATGGTTCTGTGTTTTCCACATCAAATGAATGAATTATTGTACACTTTTGAGATAGCATGTATAATTAGGACTTCCATCCCTGTTTCTGCTTCTGCTTTATCCACCTTTAAATGTAGAAATCATTATGATTCAGTGAAAGAGTTACTGCCATCTGACCCTGAACTACGCCTTGTTTTCAAACTGCAAAACAATGAGCAGGCAGTTTGCAGCTGCCATTCAGCTTCCTGTACGCTAAATATATACCGTGCTGTCATTTATGTTGACATTCCATTTGTTTGCCCTGACACACACATATTTGATCCGTGTGCACTTGCTCCGCCTCACTGTCCCGGGAAATAAAAGACATGGGGCTCTGGCAGTATTTATGGATTTATGGATTTATACAGAACATCCCAGGCCACACGTTCTGCTGAAGGGAACAGAATGGCTCCAGCAAAGCGTCTCCGTTGAAAATCTACATGGAAATAATCCTATAATCTCTCCCCAGTTTGCACACTAGACTGGCTGAGAGCAATTACTCTGACAAAGAAGGCATTTTTTCTCCTTCTTCTTCTTCTTCTTCATCCTCTCTGCCTTGTGTCAAATTAATCCTCTGAACTTTCCTAAAGATCGTCTATTCCCTTTTTCTGCCTGA